TTCTCTCAAATTAAAAACTATAAACTCCCCTGTTTTAATTGGGAATTTATTCCCTTTAAAATTGGAGGCCCAAACTCTACAAGATTTTTGTTTGCTCTAGCACCACGTGTAAGCTAGAAGATCTTGTGTCCTGGCATCACGTAGGCTGAAAAATTTCTTCCCAACATCTACCTGTCCCATATGTCAGAAATCATTCTTTGGAGCTCATATTCCCCAGTATCACTGGGAAGGCATAAATAGAAGTTCATTGGTTTGCGCCCTAGACCCCAAATGAAAACTTCTATTTTTTCTGTCAAGAGGGATGTCTACCTCTCCAGTAAGGATGAGTCCCGATAATACCGTGAAGGATATCCTTCCAGTTGACAAGGTACATGTACCTCGCCGGCTGGAAGGAAATCCTTCCGGCCAACAAGGTACATGTACCCCGTTGATAACTTGACTGGAAGGAAATCCTTCCGGCCGGCGAGGTACGTGTACCTTGCCGGCTGGAAGGAAACCCTTCCAGCCGGCTGCCTTGCCACCAAGTTAAAGGGCGGGTATCCGCGTGGATACCCGCCAGCACCAGGGGATATCCGCCAGCGGTTGCAGTTGTGGATGCAGATATCAAATTCCGCTGAAATTGTGAGCAGATATCCGCATCCGCACGGATATCCGGATTCAACCTGACCATCTCTACTCAACGGCAAGGAGTTATCACTCTCGGTTGCTGAGGGTGTAAACCTCTCAGAAACCAGAGGAATCCTCCTGGTCTCTGAGAGTGTACAGCTCTCTTCAAGATACAAGATTTCCTGCAACCGGTTCTGGCCACAATAAAAGTATGTTTTCCTTTAACTAGATTTGCCACTGTATCAACTTGGACCGGCTCAGGGGTCTTGTTCTCAGGGTAGCATGGCAAGAAGGTGTTGACTATAGATTCTTGTTATCTGGTCTCCTCCATTTGGATCCATTTCTTTTCCAAGCCAGTCTTTGTTGATTTGTCTTTTGTTGGCGGCATTCTGCAGTATTTGAATGACTTTCCAGATCAGGAGGAAAATGATTTGATCAAAGTTGATATGAGAAAGCTTGATGTACTCTTTTATAAAGCTTGATGTACTCTGTTATTTTATTTTTATTTCTACTTACTTTTTTCCATACTTGTCAATCTTTTTTGCTTTTTTTTCTCGGTCAATCTCTTTCTCCAGCTCTCTGAGTTTTTCTCAGTCAATCTCTCTCTCTCTAATTCTGAGATTAATTTTTTCACATGCCATCCATTTTATCTAAGGGTAGGGCTTTCTCAACATGAGCCAATTGGAAAATTGAAATTTCAATTTACTGATAGAGACAAATTCAAGGTACAAGAAAGCTACAAGAAGTGGCTGATTTCAAAATAAGATAGAAGAACTACAAATGATGCCAGGAGGAAACTAAACCAAGAGGATTCTAGACAGTATGCTAGCGCTCAGCTCAGATCAAACAGTGAGAGTGAGACTTTGACATCTCATTGTTATGTAGGCATGAGCCCCGCTTGCACCTTACACCCACATAGGGGGTGCTCACAGGCTTTGTTACGCTCACCCGAGCTCCGACCTCCCGCACGGGGAGCGCCGGGATCGGGGCTTTTGTCTTAAGTTCGCCTGCCGTCTTCATCATGAAGAAGCTCACACCCACCCCAGCATCATGGCTCAGTCCTCCGACAACCCAATGGAACGAGATCTATGCAACAATCTGCACGATCGGCTCACTTTACTAGGCATCAAGACCACCAACCAGTTCTTCGGGCGTGATAACAGCGGTAAGCATGACCACCCACTCACTCATCAACCCTGCATCTAACCGTCTCACATCTACTCTATTGCAGAAATCAAGAACAATTTAAAATGGATTCTCCAGTCGCTTGGCGCAAAAATCATTCTGGCAAATTCTTATGATCAACAGCTTGCAAATGCACTGTTGCAAATTAATCGTCATTATCAGAGCGATTGCTTCGAACGTTTCAGGTCCCTTATCACGTTCATACTCGCCAAGGAAGCCCAATCCAATGAAGAATTATATCAGTTCATCAACCAAGAATTCAACACCCCCTCAAGCCATCGGTCATTCACATCGAACTCTGTGGAGACCTGCACCACATTCGGCCTCGTGAATTCCTCCAGCAACCTTCCCGACGTCTATCCTTCGCTAAAACGGGAATTGAACAATTTAATGTACAGGGATGTTCCAGATTTGGTGGATTATTTCATCCGGCAACATCACCCCAATTCCGTCTCGCTCCTGCCAGATCACATTGAACTCGCCTCGCTCCTGCAACCTTACGAAAATTGTATTAATCAAAAGTTCAAAGAACCATTAAACGACACTTTGGAGGATTCCGTGTTGAACTGGATTGCACCGCTTCTAAAACATATCTCTGATGATCTGCAGCGGAAAATATCAGCTCCCCAGCATTCTCGTACTTGGCGGTCCCTCCGTAACCAGTCTATAAACGGCCTTGATGCACAACGAAACCTGGATGGTGCGATCATGTCCCAGTATATCAAGGACCAATATCACATTCGATATTCTGGTCCCAGTTGAGCTCAAGAAGAATGAATCAGATGCCCCAGACGCAGTTCGTTGCTTGGCGAGATCCGTCTATGAAGTCTTCAATCATCAACCCACCCGAAGCTTTGTCGTTGGCTTTACACTGTGCGGAACCTTGATGCAGCTATGGAAGTTTGATAGGTCAGGAGCCATTGGTTCTCAATCATTGGACATCAAAGAGACCGAAGAAAATTTTGAAAAGTTTCTTGCTCTCATTATCTTGTTTTTAACGACAAATAAGCAGGTCCTTGGCTTTGATCCAACTTTCTTTGATATTGATGGGCAGACTTGTCCTCCAGCACCGCAAAAGATACAAATCAACACGCAGCCCGATCCTCAAGAACTCGTCATACACCGCCTCATCTTCCGAGCATCGGGAATCTGCGGACGTGGGACGACCTGCTGGGAAGCACATCTCCTTGGAGATAACAATCACAAATTTCTCATCAAAGATTCATGGCAACCCCTAGACCGGATCCCAGAAGGCCATATGCTCTGCGACGTGACCGCAAGGTGCGTTCCTAATGTGGCGCGATATCATCATCACGAAGACGTCCACGTGGACAGCAAGATAGTCGACATCAAATCTTATGTTCGCAAGGACTTGGAATTTATGAATTGCAAGAAAATTGAAACCTGTAGTCAATCCGATCATGCTCAAGAGCCCAAAAATCCATTCATCAATCGGGTTCATAGACGGCTAATCCTCAAAGACGTGGGGAAACCCATTTGGAAAGTCAAGACTCCGCTTCGTCTGTTAGAGGCCCTCGAGGGCTGTGTCAAAGGACACCAGGCCATGTTAGACGCTGGCTATCTTCACAGAGACGTTTCAATCAACAATCTCATGATTAACGAGGAGACAGACGATCCGGCTCGAAAATCCTTCCTGATTGACCTAGATGTGGCGATTCCCTACCCTATGGACCCAAATGTTCAAGCCACCCAGGCAAGAATCGGCACACAACTTTTCATGTCAATCAATTTGCTTGCCCAAGAACACGAGCACACTTTTGTGGATGATCTGGAATCCTTTTTTTGGGTTTTGGTATGGATTTGCATCCATTTTCCTGCCCATCAAAGGAAAAAATCTGATATAACACGATGGAATCAGATGACCACAAAGGAGCTGAAAAGAGAGAAGTTTAGTTGTCTTGCTGACCCTCGCGACCTTACAGACGAATTCACCACTCTCTTCGCAGAATCGCAGCCTCTCATCGCCTGTGTCCACACCTTTGCCGAAATCATGCGCAATCCCCTTGTCAGAGAAGAAAAACCCGCAACACTCTATGGTAAAATATTGAACCTTTTACGCCAAGCTCAAGGAAAGCCGATTGAGAGACAATAACTGAGCCAGTCATAAGCTTAGCTAGGTACACTATTCTTCCTTCGCATCGCTTGGCTAGCCATTCACCTGACCTATCATTTCTAGCACTCTGCTTTTCGTTTACATGGTGCTCCACTCCCATACCTTCATCGTTCCCAGCCATTGGTTCATCGATCCGTATCCGATTCTTCTTCCTTATGAACAGTCATGTATCTTTCCTCCTCTCCGAACCATGTCATATTGTCAAAACGGTGATTGTGTTTTACATGTTGTCACAAACGAGAAAGAGAAATAAGTTCTCCCAACTGTTTCAATACGTTCCTGTTGTTTGGTAGTGATTGTGCCTTGAGTGTGATGACCAGCTCTCTGCTCAATATTCTTGACTTCGGTGACGCTTAATGAACTCTTCCCCCCTTAAAAGAATGCCCACCCTGAAGATCAGACGAACGACCAACATTTCAAGGAATCCAAACTTTATCGACTCTATCATCTCAATAGTTATATCGAGATAGAATTGCGAGATCGCCTCAAATCACTATTTTCAGAGTCCCATGGAGTTCTCGGCGATTTCTTGATTGAGGGCGAAACCTATCCTTATCTGATCAAGAGTATGGGTTCAACTTTGTATTCATTGAAGTGTTGGTCGTTCAACTTTGTATTCATTGAAGTGTTGGTCGTTTGTCTGGCCGTCAGGTTTGGGGGGTTTTTCTGGGAACCAGTTCATTTCTCTGAGATAAGGTTGAGAATGGAAGCCGGATCTTCGCCCAAGTGGGGTGGGTCGGCTATGAGCAATTCTGCTACATTCTGGAGCATGAGTCGTAGCTTATATATGCCGAGTCTCTTGCGATTGGACCGAGGGCTTGCCGGTGACGCCGGTCGCCGTGCATACATCAAAGAATTCCCTGGCCGCGCCTCGCTCGGCCCTGGGGCAATTTTGCAGCCGCGTTCCCGCGTGGAGCCCGCCCTTGACAGGCCTCTTGGGGGCATTTTCACCTAATCCGGATCTCTCTTTCTTTTTGAAAATATCTCCATCACGACGGTTCCAAAAGTTTTTCAAACCTAAAATACCAAGGCTTAGGTCATACTACGCTATCTTCATCATTTAAACTCATGATTACGTTTGCTAAACCAACAGGAAGCTGATATTGATTCTACTCTAATTATAACTCATTTACTCATTTGAAAAAAAAGAAACGCCGCCCACAGCAGGGAATGAGGGCTTGTGTTAAGTTCGGCCCCGGCCAGACCGGAACCCATGCCAACTTCAAGCCAAGGGCATTTTCATACCCAAGTCCCCATCCAACACTGTAGCTCACTATTTTCTCTGCAAAGAATCGTCATTCCAAGATCTTCATATTTTCATCTTGACACCAAATGCTGACATACTTACAAAAAAAGAAAAAAAAATCAAGAGATCTGCACTCTACTTGCAAAAAATTACCAGAATGAACCCCCTCCCCCCCACTCTATTTCAACTCTTACTTTGACAATATTTTTGACCCTCATTTTTCACTCCATCTTATAAGAAACATTTCAGATTATCAGTTTTGGGAAGAAAAAATTCTTAAAAATGTGTTTGTGGTGTACACCATCAAGAATGCCAAGTTCTGGAAAAGAGTGATGAGTTGAAACAAGGTCTACTTGCTGATAGAGAATTTTTTTAGCAATACCTCAAGTTGACATTGTGATGGGATGTTCTGAAGGGTTTTTTCCAACACTCTCCTTCCCAAAAAATTTGAAACACTTTCAAAATTATGACAAAACTTTGAAGAAACCAAAGGCTGGCTCACAATTTTTATGCAAGCTTGGCCCCTCCAGCCAAATAATTTTTGTTCTGATCCAACATAATCTGTTGGAGTATTCTTTCAGTCTCTCCTGTTTTTTTTTTCTTTTTCTTTTCTTGTGCTTCTCACCTTTCACCTTAGTTCCTCTCACATGTCACAGGATCTATAGCTTACCTGGGCCAGAGTACGTGGAAGGATTCCTTTCCTCATCCTTCCACAGACATCTCACTCTGACCCAGGTATGTCCTCACTTCTCTTTCTCTTCTTTTGTTTATTCTTTCTCTTTTTCCTTTCTTCTCTGATGTTTGTTTCATTCTTTATTGATGCAATTCATCCTTCCACAAACATCTCACTCTGACCCAGCCTAACATAATCTGCATCCTTCAAGAGATGCTTCCACAATTTTTATTGTTCTTTTAAAGAGCTTTCCATGTGTTGAAGGTTTGAAATTTTCTTGGAAAGCTTTGTCAGACTTGCAAACTCTATAATTTCAAAAAATAAAATTGAAGTAAAACCTTAAAAGTGCCCCAATAGTGCAGTTTGGTTATTTTTTTACTAGAGAAATGTAACTTGTAAGAGTGAATAATCTGATCAAATCTTCTCTGGAAGCTTATGTAGCATTTATGCTTGAAAATGACCAGTAGAGAGAGTTTGGTACCAAAAAAAGAAGTCATATGTGAGAAGGCAGACTTTCAACTAAAACTGAAGTCTCTAATGTGAAAAAGTCCAGCAATTTTTCTCTGGGAATAAGCAGATCAAACCAAATTTTTCATCAAGCTCATAATATTCATTGATCAATTTCAAACAAGATTTAAACAATTAGCAATAATGTGCTAAATATATGTTTGGATGGCATTGTTATGTGTTATAAATAATGAATTATAGCACTGGATTGTTTCATAAAGATCTAGATTAATTGATGCATATTGTGCAAACTAGCACTGAACTTGAATATTTATCACACATAAAACAGTGTCCAATAAGTAGGGCCTATGAGATTCATTAAAAAAATATCTACACTTTACGCCAACATTTAACAGCACTTTGTGTAGGAGAAGTAGCACACTTCATTTTGCCTTGTTTTTTTATGTGACTGAGAAACAAACATTAGGCTCAACTGAGCTCATCTGGCCAAGAAAAATGTCTCACAAATCATTTGGTTTTCATTTCACTATCACATCTGATCACTTGTTTTTTTTCTGTTTATTCATGGCTGCTATTTGAATTCATTGGTCATCACAGTAAAGCAGTCTCCCCCATATTTCTGGTGCAAATGTTGCATGAGGGACATAAATGGACACTGACTGAGTGGGATTCAGTAGTGTGACTTACTGTATAACTTGCCTATTTTGAATTAAGGTGCTTTTTTGTTGGCAGGCAAAATTTAGTATTAAGGAATTGCACCCCTGGGAGATCAATTTCAAGACCTCTTTGGTCATTTTTGTGCAGACAGCTATTAGTATGGGAAAACAAAATACAGGATATGCAGTCCAATGAACTCTTCAGCTAGAGTTTTATCACAAACTCTTGCCAGTCATGAAATCCACTCAGCCAAGTCTCCCCATGCTCTCATGTGTTTTTCTCCCTGTGGAGATTTGTGAGCCTGGGTCTCAAAAGTGACAGCAGGACACAAGGATTGGGGGGCAATTCTAGATGTATTTCAGATGGATAAGGAAATACAACTAGAATGAGAGAAAAGGAGAGAGAAAGGAGAGAGAAAAGAAATGAATGATGGTTTCATTGTTTATTTATTTTATGATCAAGTTTTAATGCAGTCTTGCTTTCCTTATAGGATGGCTGTTATTAAGCGGAATTAATCTACGCCTACTAATCAAATGAAACTGAAAAGGGTACTTGATATTGAATATATGTCAATCTAACCTCAATTTTTTAGATCAATGATCCAGTTTCTTTAAAGGGAAACCTAGGTGGTTTTCAGTTATACCACCAAACAGAGAATAATGATGACTTGATTTGATTTGACAATGATTAAGGCAGAGGTTTAGTAGAAACAGAATGATGTGATCATTCAGAGAGACAGAGAAGGAACTTAGCAGAAAGATTCAAGCTGAACTTGTGGAGTGACTTACTGATTGGTGATCCTGACACAATGAGTGGGAAGATTCCAATAGTTAAGGGACTCCAAACAATAACACGGCGATGATGCGGCGGTGAAGTATCCAACTTGAGGTTGGTGATTTCTGGTCTGAGTTGGTTCTGGGTGGGTCTGAAGCTTGAAGATCCTGAAAATGCGAACTCAGTATCCTCTGAGAGAATTTTCAGAGTTGGATTACATAATCACAACATGTACATGTGTAGAGAGTGGATTCTACTTGTGATATTTCACAAGGTACGTGAATATACAAGTCTATGAGAGAAGAGTAGTGTAAAAGTGTGTAGTGTGACTAAGCTTGAAATCACATGAGGAAATTCATTTCTGAAGTCAGAATGTAATAAAATCATGAGATAAAAAAGTTACAGTAGGAACATAGCTGAAAAGGAGGACTTGAGCAGTCTTTTGGCCAGCTTGGCTGGCTCTAAGGCTGACAAGATTATTCCTAACACTTCACCAGTCACAAGACTCTATCACCACCCTCACCCACCCACCCAACCAGGCTCTGATACCATCACATTCACATGTCATTATTTCTGGTCAGTAACACCAGGAAAAAAGATGTGGCACCCAATAGTGGGTGGTTTTGCTGTATCCCCTGGATATCTCAAAATCCATCTGTGTTGTAATCAGGACAACCAACGGTTGTATCTCTCACTATATCTCATCTAGATCTCAACTTTATCCTTTGTCACTTACTCATGCCCAGGGTGGATGTACCATCAAACTGGGATGTATTTAAACAGATTTATAATTTCTGTATAATGCCATGACCTTTATTTGAATTCAATATTGCCACTATCTGCAAAACACTTCTGCAACACTTAAATTAATTTCCCCACATCACCCATCCTCAAGGTAAATTCCACAGCAGCTTTTTCCAATCAGACTATATATTTCCAATGGAAATTAAGATGATCTTTTGATTCACATGAAAGTATTTACTTGGAACAGTAAATAAATAGCTCAGTGGTGTCTTGTTGATTGGAGCACATATGGGGAAATGCAATTCAAAAATGAGGAATCTAATGTCTGTCACCCTGAGCCACCCCTCCTCCCCCCAATGCACACACACAGAATATTGAAAAATCTACTGAAATTTATCAAACATACCTGATTGACTTAACACTTTCTCAAATTCCAAATAAGAGAGAGGAAAGAAATTATTTCCAGCATTTTGGTTGTGGATTTCAGAAAAAACTACCTGATTACACATTTTTCTCAAAGCCATAGCCACATGTCAAACTAGATATCAAATAATTCAATATAGCACACATCAGTGTAGTTAGTGGAGATAAGAAATTTGAACATGCAAAATTTCCAACCCAGGTCCCCAATCATTGAATTATTTAAAAATTGAGTTTTGTGAGCTTGTATGGTGGTGAAAAAATCAACCAAAAAGGTTGGATAAACAAGGGCTCTGATACAATTAATTGAATGATTTTTTCATCATAGTCAAGATATCAGAAAAAATAAAATAAAAAGGGCTTCTCAAAATTTTTCTACCAGGAGTAGCACCTTTCTCTCATTTAACTTTCAGGACAGAAATTCAAGTAAATTTCAATTTCAAAACTGAAACAGGTGCAGGAGATAAATTAAATTTATCAATTTTATTAGAAACAGGTTGATTCAGAAATATATGGAGGCTCCAATTTTCATTTCATTTTCATTCATTGTTTTAGAAAAGCTTGTTGGATCATGGAGACTGCTGAGTTGAATGCCAGATATAGCTGGTGTATCAAATTTTTTACTGCATTATTTATTCAATCGAACTCATGTGTATCTTTTTGAATTGAAAGCTAAATCCATGGGAAAGGATCCTTCCCCCAGTGCAAGGGACAAATCACAGAATTGCTTTGTGTTAGAATCACACAATTTTGTTTTATCATGATATTCATTCAAACAACAGTGCAGGTCAAAAAAGATTGAATATTCTGTGAACCTGATTAATTTGAGATTTATTTTCATATGAATAATATGTTTTTTATTAAAATTCTTGATCGTAAACAAATTGATGTGGGGTGAGGGCTAAATGAACCATATGGCTCTTGATGCCAAGTTGTCGTATTGTGAATGAAAGGAAAATGAATGTGGCCTTGA